GACAGAGAAAGAGAGAAAGTGGGAAAGTGAGAAAGCACCCCTCATGAATGGTCACACAGCAATCTCCTCTCTTCCATTTCTTTCTCTCATAGAGATTTTGGGTACAAGCGCATGCACATGTGCATACACACAAACTCAGTGTGTTTTTCTAGCTGGTGGGTCTGGGACTGAAACCGTGCAGTTGGCCATCCAGGTGCTGTAGCCACTACACCACAGCCTGACCTGAAGACTGTTACTATTACTAAAATTCTCTACTTTCTCACTAGATCACTGAGTATTCTCATAATTGAATAGCTAGTGTCTAACTCAGTGCCTGATTCAATTAGGGGCTCTGCAAATATTTTTTGATTGAATAAATGAATACTTTCTATGAGTCTTGAAATATTCTTGCTCTTGGGCCAGTAGGTGGAGTGGTGGTTAAGGTGCTGGATATGACACGGCTGACTCTTTGATTTGAATGCTGGACCTGGAAGCTTGAGGAACATGCCCGGCAAGTGTGCGTATGTCCAAAATTCTGAGAGAATGGAGGAGAAGTGATTGTGGTGTCATCATATCCTCTAGGGTGTTTTCTTTCCTCTTCTCTGCCTCTCTGTCTCTCTCAAGTGAGCGCATGCACCCTATGGCAAAAAAAAAAAAAATCTAAAAAAATCCCTTTGCAGAAGCTGATTTAAAGAAACAACCAGAGAGAAGAAGACTGAGTCCTCCATGGGAGGTGAGAACTACTACTGCTTACGGGGAATAAGAAAATGAAGATTTTCTGCTGAGAATTCACTCTGGTAGAGCACCCTGTATACCTCTCTGTCTCTCTCTGTCTTTTTCTGCCTCTCTGTTTCTCTCTGTCTTCATTTTTAATTTTTTTTTGGTAGAGGTTTTTGCTATAGGGCACGTGTGCTCGCCAGAGAGACCGAGAGACAGAAAGCAAGAAATCACCCCCCAGGCGGGATGGCCACGCTGCAATCCCTTCTCCTCCATTCTCCTCTCGGGATCTTGGGCACATACGCACATGCGCCTGGCCTGAGTTTAAGCAACTGGGTCCAGGACTCAAACTGCGGTTGACTACGTGGGAGTCCAGCAACATAGCTATTACATCAACTACTGGTCCACTGTCTTCATTTAAAAACATTTTTAAAAAGATTTAATTTTATTTACTCTTTCATTTATTTTAATTTGACCAGATAGACACACACACACACACACAGAGAGAGAGAGAGAGAGAGAGAGAGAGAGAGAGAGAGAGAGAGAGAGAGAGAGAGAGAGAATGAGAAAGCAAGCCACCAGGTTTGGGACTCGAACTATGGTTGGCCATGTGGGAGTGTCCAGTGCCTTAACCACTATGCCATCTGTTGGTCCTTATTTTTAAAATTTTTATTAAATTTTTTTTAAGGTAAAGCATTTTCTTGGCTATCAGATTCGCCTCTATCTTGTTAATAATGCCCTTTACCTCCTTCCCATTTAGGAGAGGCAAAAAGGGCAGGACTTCAGAAGACGACTGAATATGAGAAATATGAGAAAGTCATGTCACGTAGTTTTCATTTTTTTTAAATAATTTTTTCTTCCTTTCCCACCCCTTTTTTTTCTCTCTGTTTTCTTATCATTTTTCTTTTACTTTATCACTTTGCTGCTCAGTCTCCACACACTGATTGTCTAGATAAGTCTAAGTGAACCGTAGCCAAACATCTGAATACCATTAAGGTCAACATATTCCTGAATTCCTACTGAATCTGCCATGCAAAGGGAAAAAAATGGAATGGCAAAGAGTTTGCAGATCACCTCCCCCTGCACACCTCTGCACACTCAGATTGCACTTCTAGAAATTAGGAAGAAACAACCCATCAGATGACAGATGACTAGAAGTCACAACAGAGGCCAAGAAATATGAGAAACCAAGAAAATACCTCTCCCCCAAGGGAAAAGAATAATGACTCTTTTTTTTTTTTGGAGAGGTTTTTGCTATAGGTCGCGTGCACTCGCCAGACAAACAGAGACATAGAGACAGAAAGCGAGAAATCACCCCCCGGGGGGGATGGTCACGCCGCAATCCCTTCTCCTCCATTCTCCTCTCTGGATCTTGGGCACGCACGCACATACGCCCGGCGTGAGTTTTAAGCCACCGGGTCCGGGACATGAACCATGGTCAACTACGTGGGAGTCCAGCGACATAGCCATTACACTAACTGCTGGTTCCCCAGGAGGTGAGTAAGTTCTTGCGAGATCTGAGAGAGGAAATACACACCATAGAAAAGAATCAAATGGAACTGTTAGAGATGAAGGCTATAATACAGGAAATCAAAGCCTTCCTTGAAAGTATTAAAAACAGACTAGATCATGCAGAAAAAATAGAATCTCAGATGTAGAAGACAGTATTGCTGGACTAGAAAAATTTACCACTGAGAAAATAGCCCCCCAAATGAGAATAATATATGAGAAATACTACATACCATTAAACATTCAAACATCTGGATAATCGGTATCCCAGAAGGTGAAGAGACTAATAAGGGCATAGATAATCTATTCCATGAAATCTTGGAAGAAAACTTTCCAAACTTAGAGAGGCATTCAAATATCCAGATCCAATAAATACAAAAGACCCCAAATAGAATCAACTCAAGAAGATCTTCTCCAAGACACATTATAGCAAGATTGACCAAAACTGCAAAGATAAGATACTAAGATTGGCAAAAGAGAAACGTCAAGTTACTTACAAAGGATATTTCATCGGGCTAACAGCAGAGCTCTCATTGGAAAGAATGCAAAAAGGAAAGAATGGGAAAATATATTCAAAATGTTAAGGGAAAAACAATTTCAACCAAGAATACTGTACCCAGGGATTATCCTTCATATGGGAAGAAAAAAACATTCTCAGATAAACAAAACCTGAAGGAATTTCCTGACACCAGACCAGTTCTCCAAGAAGGTCACAACCCTGTTACTTCCATTTCTCTTTCCTATCAGGGTTTTGGGTATGTACACATGTACACATGTGTTTTTCAAATCACTAGATCTGAGATTTGATTTGTGGTCTGTGATTTGGGATTCAGTTCCCAACGTACAGTGCTTGACTACTGTACTATGGGGCTGGTTTAAATTTGTATTTTTATAGGTCCAGCGACATAGCCATTACATTCTTATGTAGTTTAGAAAAACTTTCTTATGTTCATTTAATTGGTCTTGATAATCTCTCTTACAGAGATGAATAAACTATGCCTTCTAGAGGATAAATGATTTACACAAAATTGCACAGCTCTCGAGTCCAGAGAATTGCTTACAATTCAGTTTGTCTAACTCCTCAATCCATGTTTCTCTCCCTGCATAAAATAGATGCCATGGTCCCTGGGATGAAGCCTGCCTTATTTCTCTGCTACTGCCTTATCAGAGAATAGGATGTTCTGTAGACTGCATGGGTCTGAGACCAGTTGACTTCTCCAAAAGATTTCTTCTTAGTGACCACACGAGGTCACTGTCACATTGAGTTGAGTCTAAAGTGTAACACTTTCATGTTTCATTTCTCTGCATTTCTGAGGGTGCCGGCATTTCCAGCTCCCTCACAAAGACTTTTTTTTCCTCTTCTACTCAATATTGAGGTCAAACTGAATATTTCGTGCCTTAGGATATCAACTCTGTGAAAATGTTACTAGAAGTGACTAGTACTTATTGATTTTTCTTTGCATGGGAAAATGGAATAATTGTTCATTCAGAATACTTTGGGCAATCCTAGACTTATAAGAGGAATCTTCAAATTATTTTCTAATGATTTTTCCCATTCATACATAGGAATATAAGAACTCAAATGATGCCCTAATTATCTTTTCCACACTAATTTGAATAATGTGTTTTGATTATAGCATTTGGCTGACTAAATGAACATTATGGTGTCTTTCAGATATAGGTCTTTTCTGGAATGACTGGCTTAAAAACTTTTTGGGAAGCCAGCAGGTGGTGTGGTGGTTAAGGCACTAGATCCCACATGGCCAACTGTGTGGTTCAAGTCTCAGTCCCAGCAGTTTGAAAATCACACCAGGCACGTGTGTGTGAGTGCCCCAAATGGAGGAGATCAGATTGTGGTGTAGCTATCTCTCTCTGGTGAACACACATGCCGTGTCTCAAAAACTAAAAAAAATTGCATTACTGTTATTGAGTTTATATTGTATATCTCTTGAAGGAAGATTACTACATATACACTCCTATGCAACTGTTTTCTACTGGCTGTGGTACTTGGCATGTTATTAAGGTAAGAAGAAAGGGAAGATAAAGAATTACAATTTACTCCTGGCTATATGCCACAGGAGGCTCTAAAATAGGTGTGATTGTCTCCATTTTACAATTAAAGAAACTGAGGTTCAGAGAAGGAAGTTACTCCAGGATACAAGGTGGAGGAACTTAGATTTGGATTTAGGACCGTTTGGCTCTGAACCTGTGTCTTTTCTTCTTCACCTCACTTCTTCTCTGGTTATGCAAATGATTCCATACCAAATGTCCTGCTCTAGCTGGTCATTAGGGACTGATGAGGGGACTGCTTTCTGGTTTAATGTCTGTTCAATAGGGTCTGAGAAACAGATGGCAGACATGGACTAAGTGGGATTGCAAAAGGACACCAGGGTATAAGAGATGGGGTGTCCAGTTCACATTGCCTTATTTGTTCCTCTTTGGAATTAAGTTAGGATTCCCTGCCTCATCTTGGCTATTTAGGGATCCATGGAACATTTCAGAACATAAAGAACAAGATCAGGTGGGGTATGCTCAGAGCCATGAGGGCACGGGAGTGTCAGATTGACCATAGCTGACAACTTTGCTGCTGGGGAAAAGTGGGGAGTACTGAGGAGCCTGATGGAATCTACTCTCTCATAAATTTGCTTCATTCAGACCAAATCTTTAAGGAGTTATATCAGCAAAGATCTAAAATGAAATTCAGGCTACGGTGTCCTGCTACTATAATCGACTCCTTTTTTTTGAGGAGTTAAACTGATGGGAAAGGGGAAGCCCCACTCTGAGCAGGTGCTGGCTTGTGACTGGCTGTTCCCCTGAGGACAGCCCCAAAACAAGAGCTGCTAGTGTGGGCCCTGGTGGTGGCTGCTCTGCAATTCTCTGATTCCTATACCAGTCCACGCTCAGACTCAGCACAGAAGCCTAAGGCCTGGGTCCCAGCCTGTACCTAGAATATGAGGCAGGTGGCAAGAGTGACTATCCTCCTGACTCTGGGTGAGTTATTATGGGATTAAGAGAAACTGGGATCTGGGCCTGAGGATGCTGGACAGGGATCTGCCATCTTGCCTCCTATCAATTGCTCTTTATCTAAGATGTTGAGGGATAGCTCTGGGGTCCTATTTTTCTCCAGGCAGCTTCTAAATCTTCAGATGAGCTAAAGTAAAGGTGTTCTGGGTTACATCACCTCTGTACACAAGTTCCTGGGCTCCTGGGAATAAATATAAAAAATACTTTTGTCCTGAAACACAAAGGAGAAGTAATTTATGTGTGAATATACTGTGTATTGTGGGGAAGTACAGGGAGGGGGAGATTTGACTGGGAAAGAGGACCATGGGGTGCAGAGGGGTACCTTCTAATTCACCTTGGTTTCAGGATAGAAGCGAGTATTGTGTTTCCTCCCATAGGCACGTTGGGCCTTGCTAAGACCTCCCAGCCCCTGTCCATGGATGCATATGAAGGACAAGAAGTGAACATGTCCTGTAGTCACAGCAGCATTGCTACAAATGAGTATATCTTCTGGTACCGACAGTTTCCCAATCAGGGACCACAGTTCTTTGTTCAAGGCTATAAGACAAACATTATGAATGAAGCATCAACTCTATTTATCCCTGGAGACAGGAAGTCCAGTATCCTGAGCCTGCACCGGGCTGCCCTGGAAGACACTGCAGTGTACTACTGCATCGTGGCTGACACAGTGAGACGAATGGGTCTGCACCTGTGCAGAATCTCTGTGGGTAGGACTCCCAGCCTAGAAGAAGCCCTAAAGTAGTACCGACTGAATTTGTTTCCTTTTTTTTTTTTTTGATTTTTAGAAGGTAGGAACAAATTTAATTATTCTTTTTTTTTCAGAATTATTTGCTTTATTTTGTTTGTTGTTATTATTATTAGTAGTATTATTTTAAATTTGACCAGAGAGAGACAGAGAGAGATGGGGAAAGTGAAAAAGCAAGCCATGAGGTCCAGAACTCAAACTGTGGTCAACCATCAGAAAGCCCAGTTTCTTAATCACCACGTTACCTCCTGGTCCCCTAACTATTTTTTTATTATTTAAATTTTTGGGCCATATTTATTTTTAAATGCTTATTTAATTTATATGGCCTCAAATTCAAAAAGTATACAAGGGCATATGATGCATATCTTTATTCTACCATTGTCCCTGGCCACCTAATTATCCAAAATGAGGCAATCTATGGTATCTGCACTAATGTTGTTTAGCTCCCTGGTGTTTCACACCCACACATGCACACATACTTCATATGCATGCCACAGTCAATGTGAACAATATGCTTTTTGAGAAATTTAGTCTACATGTCAAGTTATTGGGGCATTTTCAGGTACCTCCAAATTGTCTTCAATGTGTCTTCCGAGTTTGGATTTCTCACCCTCTCTGCTGCCTTGCGTTGGTTGCATCACTGCCTTGTGGATAGTATGGAGATGGGGGTGGATGAGGGGATGGGGATTTTGAGATTTTGTTTCTGATGGGCATTATAGACTATTTTTTCAAAATCTGAATCAGCATAGTGATTGTGGTTCATTCTTTTTAGAATTGGGTCTTTTTTTTTAAAAAAAACAGATTATTTATTTATTTAATTCCATTTGTTATTTTATTATTATTATTATTATTTAATTTGACCATAGGCAGAGAGAGAGAAAGAGAAAGGGAAAGGGAGAAAGTAAGCTGCTACATCTGAGACTTGAACCATGGGCTGCTCTGTGGGAATCTATCACCTTTAACCACCACACAACCTGCTAGCCCTAGAATTGGGCCCTTTGAGGGTCCAGGGTAATCAGGAATAAAAGTTGCTGAGAATCTTAGTGCTCCTATCAGGACCATGAGATGGTTTTGTTGTTCTCTTGGATATTGTCTCTAGTTTCGAGACCAGGGAATGCAGTATTCGATGGTATTTTCTATTACGATTCATAAGGCTAGACCATAGGATGAAGGATATTTCCATCTGTCTTGTACTTTTTTTAAGAGAGATTTTTTGCTATAGGGCATGTGCACTCACTAGAGAGACAGAGAGACAGACAGAAAGTGAGAAATCACCCCCCAGGGAGGATGGTCATGCCGTAATCCCTTCTTCTCAATTCTCCTCTCAGGATTTTGGGCATGTAGGTTCATGTACCTGGTGTGACTTTCAAGCTGCCAAGTCCAGGACTCGAAATGCGATCAACTACGTGGGAGTCCAGTGATATAACCATTATGCCATCTGCTGCTCCCTCTATCTGTCTCATCATGACGTTTGGTGGCAGAGTAATATTGTGGAAAGAAAAAAATTAATTTTAGGGTATTGGAGCTTATAAATTCACCTTTTTTGGTTGACATATTTTCTAAATAGGGGCGAGGAGACTGCAGTGAGTGATAGAGACCCTGATCACCAAATGTCCAGGATGTAGCCATGCTTCCCTCAAGTGCATCTAAGAGCGATGTTATGTCCATCTGAAGCTCCCTTTAAGAAGGCAGTTCTGTTTTGTGCTCTCGGGAGCTGTGAGTTAACGCTGTGAGTTACATGTGGAGAGCCCGCATGGAAATATCAACCACACGTTCTAGACTTTAAAATCACACACGCGAGTCTGGGAGTACATCTGAGTGAGCCAGGGTACACACCTATAATACACTCAGAGCAGCAGTTTGGGAGATAAAATGTTTGGTCTTGTTATCTCTGACTAAAAACCTAATAAATTGACAAGCTATTTCTCTATAGAAAATTCATGTAACTTTTTTTCTCTGAATGATCCCCAGGGTGAGATTTTCAAGGTTCAAATAGGTAAATGATGATTCCACAATAATTGGTGATAAACATCCCAGGAATGGATGGTGACTCTCTGCCTCCAGACTGAAGACCAGTTTGTATGAATAATAACAGAGTGTTCAGAGCTTTGTATATGATTGCAGAGAGCAGGACGAGTTCGGGGCTGGATCTCTGGCAGTCAGTAGTTTAAGGCACACAGTTTTTTCATTCATGATAGGATTTCTATCATAGTGGTCAGAAGCAAACGTATTTGCGAGCACTCCATAGAGTAGGACCTGGCTTAGGTATCACTGCTGCTCTGAGTGTATTATAGGTGTGTACCCTGGCTCACTCAGATGGACATAACATCGCTCTTCCTGCATAGAGCTTCCAGTGTGACAGCAGATAAAATGTTTGGTCTTGTTATCTCTGACTAAAAACCTAATAAATTGACAAGCTATTTCTCTATAGAAAATTCATGTAACTTTTTTTCTCTGAATGATCCCCAGGGTGAGATTTTCAAGGTTCAAATAGGTAAATGATGATTCCACAATAATTGGTGATAAACATCCCAGGAATGGATGGTGACTCTCTGCCTCCAGACTGAAGACCAGTTTGTATGAATAATAACAGAGTGTTCAGAGCTTTGTATATGATTGCAGAGAGCAGGACGAGTTCGGGGCTGGATCTCTGGCAGTCAGTAGTTTAAGGCACACAGTTTTTTCATTCATGATAGGATTTCTATCATAGTGGTCAGAAGCAAACGTATTTGCGAGCACTCCATAGAGTAGGACCTGGCTTAGGTATCACTGCTGCTCTGAGTGTATTATAGGTGTGTACCCTGGCTCACTCAGATGGACATAACATCGCTCTTCCTGCATAGAGCTTCCAGTGTGACAGCTTCTTGTATTACTGCTGCACCACAGCAGCTGGGCCGTTTTATGTTATATTTGATGTTTTATCATTATTTCCTTCTATTTTACTTTATATATATACACACACACACTGCCAGTGGGCACGTGCACTTGCTGGAGAGTGAGAGAGAGAGAGAGAGAGCCCCCCATGAGGCATGCTCACATCACAGTCCCTTCTCCTTTATTTCTCCCTCTTTTGGGATTTTAGGCATGCATGCACATGTACCTGGCATGCCTCCCAAGCTGTCGAGTTTAGGACTCGAACTATAGTTGCCCATGTGAGATCCAGCTGTCTCAACCACCAGGACATGGACTAACTCTATCCATTTCTATTTTTAAAATTAGATGCACATACCTCTATGTGCTATTCCATCACATTACTGCATTCATTCTCTCTACAGAAGATAAGTGATTAATATTCCAGCCCTCTCCACTCTTTCTCTCCAGTCCCTGTCTACTGACCATTACATATTTACCTTTACATCATCTCAGTCATCAATGTTTTTGTTCACTGTGTTGTTTAGATGTGGTTTGTAAAACAATAAATGTCATGAAACTATTATGCCTATGATCTTTTATTATTATTACTTTTTTACTTCACAAATGTGCGAACATTTTCAACGCTAAAAAGCCAATGTCAATGATCTGTTGATGGTAATATGAATGATAATATCTTTGATTAAACCAATATACAGTGTTTTTAGGATGGGAAAATTCATTTGCTATACTACAATGATACACAGTGATTGAATGGAAAAAAAAAAGATTTGTAGAAGAAACAAAAATAGCCAAGGTGTTCAATTTCTGCCCTCGAGTGCAGTGGGGAAGGGCTGAACTGAGGGACACAATGGTGGAAGGCTGTCCGTTGGTGGTGATGTGCATGGTGGTGTCTTTGACTGGACTAACGTGCAGTGTATTCATGCTGGGAAAACTCATTTTACATGTTATAAAGATATGTAGTGATTGAATGTAAAAAAAAAAAGAAAATAAAAGAAAGAAAAGGAGTAAAAAAGCCAATGTCATAGCCAAAAACAATTGTTTGTAGTATTGCCAATTTTTTCCCCCTTAGTTTCACTTAAAGATTTCATTTATATGACTGCTTTCTTGTACTCTTCTCCCCTTGGAAGTTTCTAATTGCTTTTATTTTTATTTCTTTTGAAAAAGCACTTGTACTTCTATTATTTCATCATTTTCTGTTCTTTTTATAATTCTCTACTACACAAAGCACACTTTCTTCTCTCTCTCTCTCTCTCTTTCTTTCTTTCTTGCCTTTGTTGGCCTAAACTTTCAAGTCTCTTTCTGTCTCTCTATCTCTGTCTCTCCAGCAAGTATGTGCACCCTGTAACAAAAATCTCTTGAAAAAAAGAAAGAAAGGAAAAAAGAGAGAGAGAGGGAGTGAGGGAGAGAGAGAGAGAGAGAGAGAGAGAGAGAGAGTGCCTCCCCCATAAATGTGGCATGGTTATGCTGTAATCCTTCCTCTAAGTCATCCCTTTAGGACTTTGGACATGCATGTGAATGTACCTGGAGTGTTTTTCAAGCTTCTAGGGTTAGCACCAGGACTCAAACAAAAGGCTCAATGGGATCTGGCTTCCTAAACACATTCAACTGCTGTGTTATGGGGTTGATCTATAAACTCCCAAGTCTTGATTACATATTCTGCTAAAATGGTCTTGACTTTGAATTGGTCATTTCCTGAGGAGTTCTACAAAAGCAATTGATACTTCTTTCTCTCTCTTTCTTTCCCTCTCTCTCTTTATAAATTTGCTTTTCTTCTATTAACAATTAAATGTTTTTTTTCTTGTGTTTTAATTGTAGCCATGCTCACTTCTGAGCTACTATTCAGCTTCATAACCAAAACTGGGCCTGAATTAATCTACTTAATCCCCTGCATCAGAATTAAAAAATTTTAAGATTATTCCGATGCTTCCTGTGAAGTTTGTAATGAGCAATGACTCCACCTACTATACCTGTCCAACCTATTTTTCTGTGAAGCCACTATTTCTGCTCATCTTAGTGTTTTTGTACCTGGGGTTAACAGTATAGGGTACCACATACTCAAGTACCAGAGAAGAATAATGTGAAAACAACCACACATATCATGCCTCCAAAATTAAAAGGACACAAAATTTGTGCATCTATGGACATTATGACTACACACGGTTTCTGCAAAGGGAGGAACATTTCTGAGCTACCTGATGTGAGCCATTTGCACAGCCAAATCTTCTTGCTTTCCGAGTCTCTCAGATGATTCCTGAAATAGCAAGGGGAGGATATGGTAAGGCTCACTAGAATAACTACTTCTGCATTTGGCCTCCAGAGGGCGATGTTGGACAAACCAGAACTACCTGCCAATAGCTGAAAACAGCATTACTCCTTTAGCCCCTCCTTCACAACCTAAGTGAGGTATCCAGATGAAGCTCTTTCTGCACAGTGACAAGTGGTGAGACTCTAGAAGTCGCACCACATTCTGATTAGTCAAGAAAGAGATTCTTCCAAATATCTCTGGGGCGTGCTTAGGCAAAAGATTTCTATAGCACCGATTTGTTTATTCTAAGAGTGCTGTTTCCTCACCCATGTTTCGTCCTGCTCAAGGAAGATCTTCAAAAAGGATCCCACAGCGTGTTCACTGCTCAGTCATGAACTTTGTTCCTGCAGTGGTGCTTATGATATTTTTTCCCCTGTGTGAGTAAAATTCGATTCCATCCTCTTATTCCCTAGTTCAGTATTGCAACTGGACTCTGAATAGAGACACCTTCTCTTCATAGGTAAGTCTGTTCTGGTCTCACTGACACAGTATTGATGTTGCAGGGGGAACCAGAGCCCAGTCAGTGACCCAGCCTGATGTCCACGTCGCTGTCCCTGAAGGAGCCCATCTGGAGCTGAGGTGCAACTACTCATCTTCTGTCCCACCGTCTCTCTTCTGGTACGTGCAGTACCCCAACCAAGGACTCCAGCTCCTTCTGAAGTACACGTCTGGAAACAGTCTTGTAACGGGCATCAAAAATTTTGAGGCTGAATTTAGGAAAAGTGAAACCTCCTTCCACCTGAAGAAAACCTCAGCCCATCTGAGCGACTCTGCTGGGTACTTCTGTGCCCTGAGTAACACAGTGCTGGCACTGCAGGGGGAGCTGAACACAAACTTCTGGTGACTGTGAGGCTGCTGTGGTTCAAAGGCTCAACCTAGAGACTTGTCAGTAAGATCTCAGGTTCTGTCAGGACAGGGAGTACCTAGGGGACTACTACTTAGCTTTTGTGCAGAAACAGAGTCAGAATTCATAAGAAATGGACAATTTAAGATAAAAACACATTATCTGAACAGACTAGTAACTGGAACCCACCCAAGGAATCAGTTCAAAAGAGACAGTGGCAGGGTCTGTTTTTGGGTGAGAGCAGTTTGACTAGAGACCGGTATCAGCACTGACAGTCTGCGCTGATGGGTCTAACCCACAAGGGGGCACTGGAGGCCTCACTTTAATGAGGAGCTTTTCTTTAGGTGCCAGATAGATAACTGGATCAGTGGGTGAACATTTGAAAAACTGAATGGGAAGGTGAAGAATAAAAACAGGGGAAGAACCAGAAGTGCATGTGACCAAACCAAATCACTAAGCACACAGGGAGACTATTTACTGATCCTGTCATTACTCAGCTCTTCCATTTGAACAAAAATCTTAAAAAGATCTTCATAAATCTATTTTAGTCAGACTGAGGAAGGCCTGGGCTGTGAGCTTTGACAGAGATTATTACCTAAGCAGAATTGAGACTAAAAGTCTGTAAGAACCAAGTGGGGCTTGGCTCTAAAATAGTTATATCTATACATTATACCTGTTACTTATATCTATTTATAATATTTTCTATGCAAAAATATAAGTCATGACTTTTCTAACAGTCTAATAGATCTATCTATAATATTAATGATCTAATCCCCTTTTTCTAACTTTTATAACTAAAATTCTTAAAATTAGTTTCTCCTTCCTCAACTTAGAAATTTCCCTCATACCTTTGATGAAATTCCTTCTCCTACATTGAGGAAAGAGGCAAAGAAATGAAGGAGATAAGGAACAAAAGTGAAGAAAGGAGACGAGAGAGAGAAGGAAAGACTGGAGGGAAAAGGAGAAGCATCATGTGTGAGCTGCAAATGTGGCACTCATCTCACGGTCGAGAACTGGATCAGCCATGTGGTCTTTGACTTCAGGGAAAAGGGGCTGGATGGGAGAAGACAGAAGGGAGGACTGAGATCAGGGCAGGCATCGTACAAATGTCCTATTTCTTCCTAAACCAATCAAAGCCTTACTGTAGACTATTCTATGTTCATGCATGAATACATATACATTTTGTAGATTTACAAACTATTCTAATTTTTAAATTTGTATTTACTCTCTTAAAAAATGGATTAACAAAATATGTGCTGCAAAATGATGTTCCTTTGTTAGGTATTCCATGTAAATAAATTCACAAAGTCTCTGTTAAACTACATGTCTTGAGTCTTCTTTAGGAAGCATATCACCGAAATGACACTTCTCTAAGATGTATTTGCTCAGATGAGGTTCCCATTTTCCTCTAGCTGTCCTCTCATTTTTTTTTTTTTACCCTCTCTATAAACTTCTCAACTTTCCTACCTATAACAGTTTTTAGAAAAAGGTTGGGAGTAACTTTCTTTACCTCTTCTTTTGCACCTGTGTTCCCCCACCCCAGTACACACCCTCCCCCCACACATTAGCTGAGAAAGATTACATCTTCAGCAAGGGCTGAGCCATCACTGTTGGAGTTTCCTGTTCAGAAACACTACACAAAGCTCAGGTATAAGTGTTATTAGTGCTTGGTGAGTCTGGCAGAGCCTACTGGCTGTAAGAACAAATTTGTTGGGCCAAAGACTTGGCACCCTCAGAGCAAGGCTGAAGGCACCCTGGCAACTGGACAAGCTGTCATGAAGAGGAGACTGGGAACTCTGCTGGGGCTTCTGTGGGTGCAGGTTTGCTGTGAGTTGGAAATCACAACTCACAGATGGCGGCTGAGAGGTGTCCTACATCTGGCAATGGGAGGAAGAGAAGAGAGCTGACGTGAAGCTCCTGGATGGACCTGCATCCTCACAGGTGTTTCCTGGGATATTTTATAGGTTTTGAAACTGCATCAGTGCTTCCCCAGTGATATCATGTGCATTTGGTTTTTTCTTTCCAACCAGGGCTGAGAGGGTTCCAGGTGGAGCAGAGTCCTTCAGACCTGAGTCTCCTGGAGGGAACCCGCTCTACTCGTAGATGTAATTTTTCTACTGCTGTAAACAATGTGCAGTGGTTCTGAAAGAATGCTGGGGGCAGCCTCCTTAATATTTTTCATGACTTTAGGGATGAAGTAGAATGGAAGGTTAGAGGCAACAGTTAATTCTAAGGTTCACTATAGCACCCTTCACATCAAGGCCTCCCACCTGGAAGACTCAGGCACCTACCTGTGTGCAGGAGCATCACAGGCTCTAGGTCACTTGCAGGCTGAGCTCAAACTGCAGCTGGGTCCCTGCCACGGGGAAGACTCGCATAGCAGCATTTGCACAATGTTAGGTTTCCTGACTCATGCTGGCAGTTCGTCTTTCCATGATTATAATGTATAATGCTGACACGGAGTTATCAGAGATTCTGGACACCATTCTCCTACGGTCAACTGCATGTTTAAGTGGACAGCGGAAGTGTTCAACTCAGGCAAAGCTAGAGCCACACTAAGTAAGTTAGTATAGAGAGAAACAAACATTCATGAACCTTGGGACAACTTATCCATTAACAATAGATTTAACAATAAGATAGAGAAAGTTTAGAGAAGTAAAAGTAAAAATTTTCAAGGCCAAATAACTAAAGGGCAAACTCGGTATTGGAAAAGAAGCAGTCTGACTTCAGATTCCAAAGGGCCTGGGTCATCCCATAATTCAATCCTTGATTTTTTCTCTCTCTGACAAAGATAGAGCCAAAGTTATTTCTAGTTCATTCAAGCATACATTTTCTCAACAAATATTTTGTGGTATGATTTGATATGTACTGGTATAGTGGTAGGAGATGACTTTATTCTACAATGTAGACAAGTTTCCTGGGCATACAGAATTTTTATTCTACTGTGAGAGATAGTGCAAATGAACAATTAAATAACTGATTTCAAAACATAAGTGTCACTAAGAAAATATAATGAATGGGGCTAACAGTTGGCCTGATGGTTAAGGCACTGGATTCCCACATGACCGGCTATGGTTCAAGTCCTGGACTGGGTGGCTTGACAATCACAACAATAAATAAATAAATATTAAAAAAACACAAAGAAAAGCAAATGAGAATGTAAAAGAGAATCACATCACACAATGGTCAGGAGTCAAGTGGTTACATTTCAGCTGAGCCTTCAGTGACCTAAAATGACATAAAAATGGTGCAGAGGGAGGACTGGGGTAGGGAAGAGGTTTTTTTTTTTTTTTTAATAATCTCGTTTTTTCTCAAATAATTATTTATTTAATTCTATTCATCATCATTGTCTTTTTTTTTATTTTTTTTTTTTTTTTTTTTTTTTTTTTTTTTTTTTTTTTTTTTTTAATTTGACCAGAGAGTGACAGGAGAGAAAGGGAAACTGAGAAAGCAAGCAGCCAGGTCTTGACTTGAACCACTGTCGGCATGTTGGGAGTCCAGTGCTCCAACTGCTACGCCATCTGCTGGCCCCAAGGAAGGGCTTTTCAATGCAACACTAGTTCTTACGCAGAGCAAGTGTGGTGTGTCTCTGACAGAAGCTGGTGTTCCTACAGTGAGAGGAGAATGGTAGAGGATGATACCAAAGAGATACGGACCTGGTCATCTGAGGCCTTGCACCATCATGGTTGGGTTCAGATTTTATTCCACATGAAATGGGAGACATTTGAAGAAGATGAAGTATGTTTTTGGAAGTGAAATAAAAGGGTTTGTGTTGATTTGAATATGGTAGATAAGAGAAAAGGGAATAAAAGTGACTTCTTTATATAGAAGATGGGATTCACTGACAAGCTGGAGAAATCTGAAAGAGGAAAGTTTTGTGATGATAGTAGGAAGAAAAAAGTATTGTTTGAACAAGTTATGTTTGAAATATCCCTGTAACATAACATCTAATTGGATCTGATCAGGCAGCTTAACGCCAAAGCCTCTGTGGTTCTTCGTTTGCTTATACATAACTTGAAAGCTAGTGTAGGCATTCAAAATCTTCTGTCTAGGCTCAGACACTCTTCCAAATTTATTTCCTCTGTACTACCACCCTCCCTCTTTCTGCTATCTACTTATCCACTCACGTGTCCATCCATTCATCTGTGCAGTCAATAGTTACCTCTCCATGGGATGAGGAAATATGTTTGAGGAAATAACTGTAGTTCATCCATCTTGGCATTAACAAAGAAGAAAGGAAAGAAATCCTGATGCATATACAATCAAAGGACTGCTATGTTTTAAAAACAATTGAAAATTCTTTTTGGAGGTGTATATTGGGTTGGCAATGCCCTTTTCTTTCTTTTTTTTTTTTAAAGAAAATATGTTTAATCACTGTACGTCTTTACAGCATATAGAATGGTTTTTCTTAGTGTGAATACAGTACATATTATTCTAATTATAGATATATTGCTGTGTATATTATTATCAACAGATAACTTTTCATTTTGTTTCTGTTAGATGTTTCCCCCCCTTGATTCTATCCCTCTCCGATTACCCCTACCCTCCTATACTGCTTCTAGTATCTTCTGTTGCCCTCGCTGCTATTATACCTTCTAATCTTTCATTTGTTAGAGTATTTTTTATGAACTGTAAAGAAACACATCCTTCACTGAATTTGACATAAATATCTATTTTCTATATCCCAACAATATAAAAAAGAAAGATCTTTAACGTTAAAGCACCAATTTTCCTACCTGTGGGGAAGCTGGTAGGAGTAAAGAGAGGAGGCTCACTCCCTGGATCTGAGGAAGTTTCCAAGAATTCAGCCATGCACTCTCCTGTACTTGACATCACGTAGATGTATGATTTTCTCTGGCAACTCTGATGGGAATGTTCAATTGAACAATGAGACGGAGATCTCAGGACTCTGAATCATCTGTCCTGTATCCAACCTTAATGCTGCAATTTCCATTTTATGCACTGAGACTCAATGAGCATTTTTTTTAAGACTTGCTACTTACACATGCAGTTCTGAGAACTATGAGCATCACCAGTAAGCTTCCTAAAAATACAGAATATCTAGTTCCACCTCAATCCTACTGAAATAGAATCTGCATCTTTAAAAAAAAATTTGTCAGAAGGTAAATGCAATAATCAGAAAGAGACACACACACACACACGTACACACATACACACACACACACAGAGAAAGAGAGAGAGAGAGAGAGAGAGAGGTAAAGTGAGAAAGCACTCCCCCTCCCCCATAAGGTATAGTCACACTCTGCAATCTCTTCTGCATGACTCCTTCTGAGATTCTGAGCATGCACACACATACATGCTCAGCATGTCTTTGAAGTCTTTGGGTCCAGGACTTGAATCACATAGCTGGCCATGTGGGATCCAGCTACCTTAACCACCATGCCACTGGCCAGTCCCAGAATCTGCATCTTAACAAGTTTGCAAAGTACTGCTCTGGAGGGCACTGTGGGAAGGTATGAAAGCATGGAGAGCAGTGATGGTGCTGGGCACCGTGTGGGAGAAAGGAAGGAAGCGGGGTAGAGGGAGAGGAAGGGAAATCAAGGGGAAGAAGAAAAAAGCAAAACATTTAAGAGACCCCAAATGGAAAGAAATCTGTTGATTATAATGATGTACATGGTAATGTTTTAGGCTGGACCCATATGTAGTGGATTCATGATGGGAAAATTCATTTGGTATACTATAATGATACACAGCAATTAAATGTAAAAAAAAATTGTAAAACTTAAAAATAATTTAACTAAAAAAATTATGTATTGGGACCAGCAGATGGCGTAATGGCTCTGTTGCTGGACTCCCATGTAGCCGATTGCAGTTCAAGTCCCGCACCCTGTGGCTAAAACTCACACTGGGCACATGCACTTGTGTGCCCAAGATCCCAAGAAGAGAATGGAGGAGAAGGGATTGCGGCATGGCCATCCTCCCTGGGGGGGTGATCTCTTGCTTTCTGTCTCTCTGTCTCTCTTTGGCCTTCTGGTGTGCGCACACACCCTATAGTAAAAACCTCTGCCCCCCCCAATTTATATATTTAATTTTGCTATAGGGCTTGTGAGTTCACTAGAAGGAGAGAGAGAGAGAAACTGAGAAAGCACACCTAAGGGAATGGCCACAATTTCTTTTCTATTCCTTCCTCCTTATTTTTTTTTTTTTTTTGAGAGATTTTCACTGTAGGGCGCGTGCGCTTGCCAGACAGACAGAGAGAGACATAGAGACAGAAAGCGAGAAATCACCCCCCAGGGGGGATGGTCACGCCGCAATCCCTTCTCCTCCATTCTCCTCTTGGGATCTTGGGCACGCACGCACACGCGCCCGGTGTGAGTTTTAAGTCACCGGGTCCGGGACACGAACCGCGATCGACCACGTGGGAGTCCAGCGACATAGCCATTACACTAACTGCTTGTTCCCTATTCCTTCCTCCTTTTGAGATGTTGCGGATGCATGTCCATATGCCCAGTGTGTTTTTCAAACCACTGGGTACAGGCTCCGACCATGTAGTCAGTCAGTCATGTGCAATCCGGATGCCTTAACCACTACTTAAAAACCTTTTGAACACAAGAGGGTAGTGTTTCCTATCCTCTCAGATCATTTTCAGACTTGGAACCAAGTTCACTGTGCAGTTGGGGTAGGCATGTGTGTATATAAAGGGCTGAACTGTTTGTCACCGGTTGTCTGAGTAAAGGGGCTGAGACTTCCTGCTGGGATGGGAGAACCACAGTAACACTCAGTGGACTGAACGAGACGAATTTTTAACTGAGAAGTTTGAGTCCTTGCTTCAAGCAACATTTGGGATGAAAAATGCAGCCATTCCTGGGAGGTGCTTTAGTGATTTTGTGGCTTCGAGTGGAATGTGAGTTGGATGGTTCCTAGTGATGGGGATGGAGAGGTCCAGGAACACAGAGTCCAGGATGGAGGGAAGGGCTAGGATCTCTTCTGCTTCATCTTTGGTTATGTCTGGGGGTGTGGGGGAAAAATAAACTCTTAAATGTGTCAGGATAGTGATTAAATCTTCTGTTTTTCTTTTCTTTTAATTCTTTTTTTAAAAATTGTGTTTCTACCCAGGGGTGACCGGTCAAAAGATAGACCAGAATCCTCAGGCCCTGAGCATCCAGGAGGGTGGAAAGGCCTCTCTGATCTGTAACTATACAAACTATTTTCCGGCGTACATGCAGTGGTACCGACAAGATCCAGGAAAAGGTCTTGTCTTCTTGCTACTAATACGTGAAAACGAGGGTGAAAAACAGAAAGGAAGACTGAGGGTCACCTTTGATACCGCCAGGAAACAGAGCTCCTTTCATGTTTCAGCGGCCCAGCCTGCAGACTCAGCCACCTACCTCTGTGCTGCAGACACAGCGGTGCCCTGCCAGCTCCTTCCTGTACCCAAACCTGCTAACCTCTTAGTCAACAGAGCTGTGGCTGTGCAGTCCTTTCGAGATCTACCACCACTCCTAGCAAAATAAAGTGTGGGCTATTTGAAAAGGCAAAGCGCGACAGACAGCCCTGGACTGACCGGGAGTGGGGATCTGCCATGGTCTCCGTACTGCTGATAGGACTGTGTGACCTGGAGGAGCTCATAAGATCTGCAGGTGTCAGTGTTCTGATCTAAGAATGGTGGGCGTAACACATGATTTCTCAGGTTTCTCTCAGCTCTTAAATTTAAAGACAGCTTTTTCTTTTTCCAGAAAAACAAACAAACACACACACAGAAAGCTCCTCTAGAATGCCTGAGAATAAGAAAGAAGGATTTGCTTTTGAAAAAAAAATTAGTTAATTGTGCCCGATTTTTGTTCTCAAGCTTGTATAGCTGAAGAAACGGACAGGACTGAACACACATCTCTTAAGCATAAAAAATATATTGCTGTAGATGAAACAAATAGCTTAAACATAATCTTGAGAGTCTTCAAAACTGGACACCAAATAGTAGTTATGAGAGGGATTCTTGAGAGTCTTCAAAACTGGACACCAAATATTAGTTATGAGAGGGAAAAAAGCAATTTGTATTTCAAAAACCACAATTTGTGAAACCAATAAATATTGAGTTGGGACCAGTGGGTGGCACGGTGGTTAAGGCACAAGACACTCCCACATGGCCAACCGGGGTTCGAGTCCTGGACCTGGTGGCTGGCTTTCTCCCTTCCTCTCTCTCTCACTCTTACCCTCTGTCTCTCTCTCTGGTCAAATTAAAAAATCAATGAATAAATAAAAAGTAAAATAATTATAAAAAATATTATTGAGTACCTGGTATGTGTCAGGCACTGATATATAGGGTAAGGATACATGTATGAATATATCGCACTGACTTCTGCCCTCAAGGAGCTTACGTGTTATTGGCGAGGACACAGACTAAACAAAGATGCTGATAAATAATGAACGATACTGCATTTCAGTATGTACTATGGGCAACTTAGACAGGTTATGAGGATGGGAAGTGTGGAGATGCAGGTGTCTCCAGCGGTAATTTTAAATGTTGGGGGAGGAGTCATGGTAGTCCTCATTGAACACATACATGAAGGAAGTGAAGGAGAAAGCCATGTAGCCACCTAGGGGAGCATTTCGGGCAGAAGGAACAGCCAGTGTGAAAGCCTCGAGGCAGAGGCTGTTCAAGGAGCAGCAAGGTCAATGTGGGGAGTAGAGTCAGCCAGCAGGAAAGGAAGAAGAGACTGGACCAGAGCAGTAACAGGGGCCAGATCCGGTGGTGCCTGGAGGTCACAGTGAAGGGTCTACTCTGTGAAGAGCCATTGGAGGGGATTGAGATGAAAGTGATTTATATGACTTATGTTTTAAAAGGACTACTACAGTTACTACATCAAGAATGGAATATAGAAAGTTAGGAGCAAAAATTAGTCTATTGACGTAATCTAGGAGGGATGATGGTATTTTGGACCAAGGTGGTGAGTGAACAAATTCTGAATGTATTTTGACAAAAAATTGCTGAAATATTGGATGGGCATATGAAAAGAAAATCAAAGATGACTCCAAAATTTTCTTTTCACTTGTTTGTTTTAGGTTTTTAGGTTTTTGCCATAGGGCACATGCACTCACCAGAGAGAAAAAGAGAGAGAGGAGATGAGAGAAAGTGAGAAATCACTCCCTACAGGGGATGGCCATGTTGAAATCTCTTCTCACACACACATACATACTTCCAGCATGATTTTAAGCCACTAAGTCAAGGGCTCTAACCACGAATGATCATGTGGGAGTCTAGTGCCTTAACTGCCACGCCATCTGATGGCCCCTGACTCCAAAGTTTTGATCCAAGGAGATAGAGACATGAACTGGCCACAAAGTGAGACAAGGAAGATTGCAGATTGAGTAAGTTTGTTGAGGGTAGGCAAGCGGAAGGGGATGATCACAAGTTTAGTTGTGACATTATGAAGTTTGAGAAGTTGTGTCTGTTTGAAAGATAAGACTGGAATTCAGGGATAGGGCCTGGCTAAACTGAAAGCTTTGTGAATTATCAATTTATGATGGTATCAGGTTTGAGAGTTCCATGAACACTAAATTTTTTGTTTGGATTTGAATAATAATTTGAAAAATATAATTTTTTTTGGAGACGTTTTTGCTGTAGGGAGCGTGTGATTGCTAGAAAGACAGAGAGAGACAAAGAGACAGAAAGTGAAAAATCACCCCACCCCCCCCGGGAGGATGGCCAGGCTGCAATCCCTTCTCCTCCATTCACCTCTCAGGAACTTGAGCATGCACAGACATGCACCTGGCGTGATTTTAAGACACCATGTCCGAAACTTGAACTGCAGTCGACTATGTGGAAGTCTGAAAACATAGCCATTATGCCAACTGCTGGTCCTGAAAAATATAATTGTTAAGGCCAGTTAAATTATTTTGTTGCTGGGGCCAGCAGGTGGCATGGTAGTTAAAGTGCTGAACTCACACATGGCAGACCATGGTTCAAGTCCCAGATCTGGCAACTTGCTTTCTCACCCCATCCCCTGTCTCTCTCTGGTCAGATTAATAAAGAATAATAATAGCAAATAAAATTAAGTAAATAATAGTTATTTGTGTGTGTGTGTGTGTGTGTTTGCCAGAGTGTAGGTGCACACACCAGAAAGAGAGACAGAGAGAGAGAGAGAGAGAGAGAGAGAGAGAACTCCATCAATGGGACATCATCATGCCACAATCCTTTCTCTTCTCTATGTTCATCCCTCCGGGATTTAGGGCATATGTGCATGCATTTCCAACATGTTTTCAAGCTATCAGGGGTAGGATTTGAACCTCACTCAGGATGTGAACTGTGGCTGGCCATGGCAGGATCTGGGCCCCTATGCACAGGACTTAACCACTGTGCCATGGGGCTGGCCGAATGAAAAATAATTTAAATAACTTCTGTTTTCACTTTTTTCTCTTTAAAAGAGGTTTTCATATTACTGTAGGTTTGTTAAACATTGAAATAAGGTTTAATAGTTAGATAGGATGCTTCTGGTCTCTAAACCCTAGAGAACAGCTTTAAGAATCTTATTACTCCAGAGCTCTATGACAGTCATTGCATTAGCTGGGATGACTTTATGCTGTTCTCTGGTAATAAATAAGCCACAAGATCCCATCGTATTAACATGAGGGACGTTTATTACGTACTCGTGCTGTCTGGAGGTAGGTGGGTGCCCTCCTGCATTCTGTAGCTTCACTAGCGACAGCACGTTTTCCCAGGGTGCAGTGGCAAAGAAAAATAACAGGTGAGGGAGGTATAGAAGCTCTTAAATTCTTGGTTCTGCCTTGGAGAGGTTCCAGAGAACAGGAAAACCTGTTTAGAAGGCTTTGGTAATGGTCTGGGCTAGAGAAAATTGTGTAATGAGCTAGTGTTGAACAAATGGAGATTTGGGAGCTTGAACTCTGGCATCTTAGTGAGTGTAGGCAATGACACCCCAAAGAGACCCAGTGAATAGTGACAGTGTCAAAATTGATTCTTCCTGACTGGAATGCCACTTCCTATCTCAAGCACATGTTCGCTCTTCTGCCTACCTTTAAACTCCTGGGTTGAAAAAATAAGAGACAGAGGTGATACAGCCATGGGGCAGGCTGCAAGAGCTCAGGGGAAACCGCAAGAGGGCGCTCCTTTCTTCAGATAAGGCTTGCTTCCACATTTGCGTGGTGGTTTGACATCCCTTGGTCCCTCTTCTCTGTGCATATTACCTGCCTTCTTCAGTTACTCTTCAGCTGCCAGGGGCAGGCAGGCTCTTTCTAAAGGGGCACAGACTCTCCAGAAGATCCCACACAGAACCCACAGATTCTGAGACCAGATCATCGCCTGTCAGGGTGTTCACGGGTGCAGAGCCCTTTGTCTTCCACACAGCTCTCCAGCCATGCGCTCCGACTTCGGCTCACTGCTTGCTGTGGTCCTGCTGCTGATTCTCAGTGAGTGACATTTCTTTTAGTCGTCTTCTCTTTCTGAATCTGGGTGATAATACCTAGCTCCCCCTCTCCACTGAGGATTGTCCCTCCATGTATAAATTCCTAAATGACAAAATCTTCATTACTTTAGGAAGAACCCACGGAGACTCAGTGACCCAGACAGAAGGCCCAGTTACTCTCTCTGAGGAGGCAGCTCTGACCTTGAACTGCACTTACCAGACCAGCAATGTAGTTTTCCTTTTCTGGTATGTCCAGTATGTTAATAAAGCTCCTCAACTCCTCCTGAAGAGGTCATTGGGCGAAGACAGAGCAGAGAACGAAGGTTTTTATGCCAATCACATTAAGGATGACAGCTCCTTCCACCTGCAGAAACGCTCCGTGCAAACGTCAGACTCTGCTGTGTACTACTGCGCGATGAGAGACACAGTGGGAGGGACTGCAGGGGGAGCTGAGCACAAACCAGAGAGGGCAGGTGGGGCCTGGGTGAGGCAGCCCTGGGAGGGAGAGTTATGGCTTCTCTCCAGGTGGTGTCCTGGGTTGGGGACAGCTAGAGGAAAAGGAACAAATTTTAACCTTGAGCCTTAGAACGCAGGAGCCCTGGTGCTACTCTGAGCAAGAAATAGAGTTAGGGAATCTAAGGCAAACTCGATTTCCTATTTCCAGAAATGTTTCTGTTTCCAGTCAGGATGCACTTCTTTCCTCCAGATGGAAAAACATCCCCTGGTAAATATTTACTCAACTTCTGTGTGGTTCCTCTGCTAAGAGAATCTGGATTTGGTCTCTTCTGGCATATCTCCATCTCTAAATATTGAAAACTTTAAGGACATTTTTAAAAAAATCATTTTTAAGGCAAATATCTTAAAGGCTAAATGAGATACCAGGAACGCAGCCTGGCCAACTTCGGCATGTGTCTCTGTTGCTGATGGATGTTCCCTTCCTTACAAGTACAGAAGATGTCGAGACCCCGTCCTGCCTTCATTCCTTTCTCCAGTTCTTCCTTCCTTCCTTTGCAGCTGCTCAAAAACACTGTTGGAAAGGAGGTCTTTTAGGAAAGCCTCTGCCCTCCTTGGAGTCTCTTCCTACATTCTGATTTGCACAGCTAGTGAGAATCAGCCCAGTGGGGAAAGGCTGTGAGGAGAGCCTCATTGTGGCTTTTAACTTACACCCCAAATAAGCAATGTGGGGAAGTGCCTGGATTTCTTTTTAAATTATTTTATTTAACTTCTATTTATTTTAACTTGACCAGAGAGGGACAGAGTGTGTATGTGAGAGAAAGTGAGAAAGCAAACTGCCAGGTCCGGGACTCAAACCATGGTCGACCATGTGGGGTCTAGTGCCCTCAACCCCCATGCCACCTGCCGGCTCCAGGGAAGTGTCTGGATTTCTTATTTTAGGCTCAGTTTGTTCCTGATGAATTAGAGTAAGAAGTGTTTTGGTTGAATCAGTTCTTTCTTTGTGTTTGAAAGAATGTTCTGCTCATCATTCATGTACTTGCCTGTATACAAAGGAAGCCTGACCTCTTTAGAGTGCTGCTCTAAGTCAACCATGGGTCCTTCTTGGGAAATCCTTTAGTGTCAATGTGTGTAAAAACATAGGGAAGGGTGAATTGTCTTTCTTAGTGGCTGGCAAGTTAGACCCAGATGGTTATACTGTATTGCCTAGGACCAGGAAACAAAGAAATAAGAGTTTCTCACTGAAACTCTGTTCATATTTTGGATTTCAGAACTGAGATCAAAGTGGCTTTGGTCAATCAGAGACTCCAGCAGCTGCAGTGGCGACCCTATGATTTCAGTAGGACCATGAGGATTTATAGAGAAGTGAGAAAGCCTGGGAAATATTTGCCCCATTGCAAACTGCAGGGACTCCGTGCAGTCTGTTTGGGACCTCAGTGGACTTGTGGGAAAATATAATTTCAAAGAGTTGATTATGGGCTGAATTCTCCTTTCCCATTCATATGTTGAAATTTTTTTATTTTTTTAATGTTTTTCCATAGGGTACATGTGCTCTCTGGAGAGTCAGGGAAAGACAGTGAGAGGGAGAGTAAGAAATCGCCTCCCAGGGGGGATTGTCATGCTGTAATCCTTTTTCTTTCATTCTTCTCTTGGGATTTTGAGCACATATGCCAACACATTCTGCATGGCACTTAAGCTGCCCCTTGACCAGTACACCACCTGTTGGCTACATATGCTGAAATTCTAACCCTCATTTGACTCTATTGGGAGATAGGGCCTTCAGGGAGGCAAATAAGGTTAAATGAGGTCATAGTAGGATTAGTGTCTTGTAAGAAGAGGAAGGAGGACCCGGCCCCAGGCTGGTGATTAGGGTGACTCGATGCCACTTGGCTATGTGGTTTGAGTCCTGAATCTGGTGGCTTGAGAAACACACCAGCGCATGTACATGCTATAAGTGAATCTTGATTTGAAGTTGAGCTTGTGCTTATGGAGAATAAGTGCAGCACGTTGCCATGTGATAATTAGACCGAACCAAGAGAACTGGCTGATGGAGCTCAGAAACACACATCCAACGATCAGTATAACAGCTGTGATTGTCGGATGGATTTGCTCACTCAAGAAATATTTGAGTACCCACCAAATTCCATGACATTGCCTCAAAATGAATCTTTTCATATGCTAAAAAAGTGCTGTTTTATGAATAATTTGGTTAGAGGCCAGTATATAGGATTTTCTTTCCTGAAGACTAATCTCTGTATAGTCATATGTCACTGAACATGGGGATAAAAATGTATTGTTAGGTGCTGTTGTCTTTGTTCAAAGGTTGTACAGTGTACTTACACAAACCTAGATGGGATTGTAGTAACACACCTGGGCCGTGTGGTGTAGCCGACATGCTCCTCCCGGGACCGCTGCTGTATATGCAGTCCACTGACAGACGTTGTGTGGCCCTGAGAGCATTTGTGTCAGAGCGGAACTGACCAGATGGTCCCACTTTCTAGACTGGGCAGAGGACTTGGGCTAATGCTTCATTATGATGTTTCCCCAACTGTATTGAAATCCAAGAGTGCAGCCGGTCAGCACTTGAATTTGAATTTGTAGTGTTATTTGTATCCATAGTTTAAATTTTACTAGAGACTGCCAAATTGATTTTGTAGTGTTCAAACTTGGTGATTTGACTCTCAAGGATGATTTTTGAGAGTTTCCCTTTTATCGTGTCTTTATTAGTATTGGTATTTTTTTTTTGGAGAGGTTTTTGCTATAGGGCGCGTGCGCTCGCCAGACAGACAGAGAGAGACATAGAGACAGAAAGTGAGAAATCATCCTCCAGCGGGGATGGTCACGCCGCAATCCCTTCTCCTCCATTCTCCTCTCGGGATCTTGGGCACGCACGCACATGCGCCCAGCGTGAGTTTTAAGCCACCGGTTCTGGTGGTCGACTACGTGGGAGTCCAGTGACATAGCCATTATGCTAACTGCTGGTTCCCTAGTATTGGTATTTTTAAACTTAACTTTTTTTTGACAGTCTGACAAATGTAAATATTTAAATTTTTTCTGGTTAATAGTGAGGGGTAGCATCTTTATTGTTCAAGTGAGTTTCCTCTTTTCTAAAGTCCCTGTTCTTTTAATAGATTGTTCACCATTTTCTACATGATTTATGGGTGTTTGTTATTGGTTCTTAATAATAATCTAGTGTAAACTGTCTTGAAAAATGTGTTCTGAAAGTGGATTATTTTTCAATGCTATTTATTTGTTCACTTAATTTTCAGGGTCAGTGTGCTTGCCAGAGAGAGAGAGAGAAAACTCCCAGTGGGGTTGTCATATCGCAATCCTTTTTCCTTCATTTCTCCATCCCATCAGGATTTTGGGCACACTTACACACACATGCCCAGCTTGTTTTTCAAGTCACTGGAGGCTGGGATTTGAACTGTGCTTGGCCGTGGGATCAAACTCCCTTAACTCCTGTGCTGTAGGCTGGTCTTACTTTTATTTTTACTTGAATTTTTTCAAAGCATGTAATTGACAGCATCCATATAACTCTATCTGAAATGATGTGGGCAAATAAAATGGATTTTGATTTTGTCAATTAGTGTATACTCTGGGTTACTCGTCTATCAAGTTCTTTATTATAGTTTAAAAATAAATACAAAGAAATTTAAATCGAGATACTGTTGAGGTCAGGTACATGAAGTCACCTATCTTCTGATTAATTTTTACATTTATAATTCTAAGGCACAATAATATGTTGTTGCCTAAAACATAAAATGTTGAAGTTAAATACTGAAGTTTTATCTTCTAATCAGAGAGAGCAATTTCTTTGTCTTACTGCATTTTTGACTGAGTGATTATAATTTACCTTCCTATTTTCTTAACCCTAAGGATTTTTGTCATGCTGTCCCCAACACCTTTATATCTGATCCTACTAAAAAGTTCATGTTACTTACAGAAATGTATTTCCAAATACGCATTCTTTTTTTTTTTTGAGAGGTTTTTGCTATAAGGTGCGTGCGCTCGCCAGACAGAGAGAGAGACAGAGAGATAGAAAGCGAGAAATCCCCCCCCCCAGAGGGGATGGCCATGCTGCAATCCCTTCTCCTCCATTCTCCTCCTGAGATCTTGGGCATGCATGCACACGCGCCCGGCGTGAGTTTTAAGCCACTGGGTCCGGGACTTGAACCACGGTCCACTACGTGGGAGTCCAGCGACATAGCCATTAGGCTAACTGCTGGTCCCCCAAATATGCATTCTTAACTTTCTATTCTTTGATATGGTTATGGGTGGCCTTGCATTGTGTGATTTTTTTTTTTTTGAGACCTATGTTAGCTCGTTCTTGGCTTCATGAGCTCAGAAAGTTGCTGCTTTTTGAACAAAACCCTATCTATTTCCTCTCTCCCTTTTGCTCACCTTCTCTATGATCACTGGTGATTGTTTGGCTCTGAGGCAGGTCAGACCTCAAGGAATAGATTAACTAAAAGTAGCAACAACAATAATGGAAGAATTTTGGTGACTACATTATAGAGTGTAATAAAATAAAAACCCACTACTGTAAGAGTTAATTCCTCTCATTGCCACTCTGACACATAGTGTCAGAGGTCCACACCATAGCAACATTCTTTAATGATTCTGTTTGTGGCCACAAGGGGACAGTGGCTTCCCTTTCATTGTGGAAATGATGCCTTCCTTATAGCTAGAAAGTCTGTTTACATCAGAGGAATCTTATCTCTGATTGGTTGGCAGATAGACAGAAAGGCTCTATTGGCTTACTGCATTAAAAGAACTAAGGAATAAAAACTATTTCTTCGGCTACACAATTTCAGGCAGCATTTCAGATATCAAGACAAAGTTTCAGGATGGAGATGCCAAAAGGATATGGATTGATTATATTTTGGCTTCATCTTGGCTGTGAGTTGAGGGGTTTTAAGAGCTGAGACCCAGGGGGACATTCATTCAAGTCTTAGGGGGAATGAATGATAGGGATGGAGTCTGATCTCATTTGGTGTTTCTTATTGGACACATAAGCACAGAATTATGAGACGCTGGGACATATGTATTGTGTCTGATGTCTCTCTCAACAGGGGCGAATGGAGAAAACCAAGTGGAGCAGAGTCCTCGTTCACTGGAACTCCAGGAGGAAGGTGCCAGCTTCATGAGTTGCACTTACTCAGTCAGTGGTTTTAATAATTTGCAGTGGTACAGGCAAGATTCGGGGAAGGGTCCCCAGCACCTATTCTCCATGTATTCACCTGGAGACGGGAAATCGAAAGGCAGAGTAAGAGCTACGTTACAGAAGAATGGAAGCAGCCTGCACATCACAGCCTTGCAGCTTGAAGACTCAGCCACCTACTTCTGCGCTGTAGCCCCACAGTGCTCCCAGGCACCTGGGACCTGGACTTAAACCTGCAGCTGGGCAGGAGAAGCACAACAGAAGCATCGGCCACAGAGGCTCTGAGCTGGGAGGGATGTGGCAAGAGGCTTGGGTAGGGGAGATGAAAGCTGCTGTTTATTTGATGCACATATCTTTCATCAGACCCACCTTCGCATTCTCAGTGTGCCTCCCTTGAATGCATCGACCCTGACCTGTCCTTGTACAGCATCTGCCAGAGCCCAGGGCAGTCTGTGTATGTAGGAATACCTCTCCTCTGCCTGGTCTCATGAAAACGTGTTCAGAAGTTTTGAAACTCTGTTTTCTATGTCATAAAATCTGACAAATGAACTTTAATTAAGAAAGACTGGAAAGGTTATGTATATCCAAAGCCAAGCATTGAGATTCTCTTTTAGCATGCTGTGCTTTCTATTATTGTAATACACCTAATTATTAAATTTATTCATAACACTTTTAAATATTAATTAATTTAATTAAGTGCTTTCTGGAGAGTGAGAGAGAGAAAACCCCTCCTCCCCCCCCCCCAAAATAATCCCCCATGGGAAATGGTCATCCTACAATCCCTTCTCCTCCATTTCTCATTTCTTTCAGGATTTTGGGCATACAAGCACACATGATTAGTATGTTTTCCAAGCTTCCAGGTCTGGGACTTGAGCCATGTGGTCAGCCCTGTGGGATCCAGCTGCCTTAACCACCAGGCCATCGGTTGGCCCCATAACATTTATTAAAGACCAACTAAGTGTCACATACTTTGTTTCCTGCTCTTAAGAGGCTCACTATGACAGAAATAATAGGCTGGTAGGAATTTATGTGAAAAATGCTTTAACAGTGGTTTCCATTCACTCATCTGAACAATCATCTATTTCCTCTCTAGGCATTACGTGTGGTGATGTTCAATAGTTAAGCTTTCATAGAGCTGGTGTTTCCTTAAGGTTCTGGGACACCCAGAGGGAACTCCCAGTCTATCTGGGAATTATAAATTCATGAAAAACAGCAAAGAAATTTTAGTTTCCTCTTTGTCAGTCATTCTTCTCATGAAAACATAGTTAGACAGTGGAGATACCTGAACACCTTTTTTGTTGGGGGACAAGTGCTCCCAAAGTCTGTTGTGACAGGGGCAATCACTTATCTTGAAGCACTCACAGGCAGGACTGAGGAGGATTTCCAGGCGGCTGTTGGAAGTGAAGTGCAATAGGCCACCAGAGGTAAAACAAATATAAGAAAGCCCCACCTCTTATTTAACAGTAAAATTATAGAGATTAAATAAAATACGTACATGATGATATTGACACACAGTATCGAAGACTGTAGATTCTATATTGAGTGACCCAGCTCAGGACAGGATAGGTGGGTTTTTCATATGAAAAGAATGGAGAAAAGGGAAGCGCAGGTCACTTAGACCCTAATGACGTGCCCTGGTGGCAGGAACGTCTGCTGTGGGAAGATCACCCAGGTCATCTCTAAGCACACAGCAGAAGAACCGAAAGTGAATATGCCCGTTCTTACCTCTCCTAGGTAGAAATGAGAAAGGCCAGTGACCAGTGAAGTGACCCCTGTCTCCTCCTTACTGAATCCAGCCCAAGTGCTTTTAAAAAGGTCATCCAAAGAAACATTGATGTATATTATTTTCTCTTTACGAACACACCATGAAATAAATGAGATCACATCTTTCCTAATGACTCTATGACAGAAAGACGGTTACTTTATAGGAAATGCAGGGAAGAACTCCAAAGCAACTATTTCTAAAGGAAAGAAGAAATAGAAAGGAGGAAGGACAAGGAACAGAATTCCACATATAGATAAAGGATGGAAGGGAAGTTAGGTTTGTCAGGGTTCATTCTGATGCAAATCAAATAGCAGACAAGGACTAGAGCTCTCAGATAAAAGAGAGAAAACTAACACATCTTTGTAAAGGTGGCTCATGTCCAAATCCTGCTCACATTCCTTCTCCCCTTTTCTCCTCCCTGCAATAACTTGATTAAGTGACTTTGTAAAACCAGTTCTCAGACAGACGGGCAATGCCCAGAGAGTCGACAGGGAAAACACTCAGGCTTAAATTCTCCATGACAGTGTGCCTGCAGTAGGGACAGCAAAGAGGAGCAGTCTTCTTTACCTTGTGACATTCTAGAAATACTCAAGAATTGGAAGCAGTAGTTACTTGGGGGAAAATGATACTGGATGGAGAAGGTTTATGGGAAAGAAACAGAACTGAAAGACTAGACTCAGTAAGGAGCAGTTAGAACCCAGTATAATCTGCCTCCGTCCTTCACCGTGCTGTGCTTCAGGCTATGAGCCACCCTCAAATCTGGCAGAAGATTGAAGTTCTTCTCTCTGGGTATTTTGAACTAGACAGTTTCTGAATTAGGGAATAGCAGAGACATCCGAGGGTAGAGTCAGATGCTATAGAAAAACTGGGGGATTAAATGAAATCTTGCATTCCTATGAGAAAGTCCATTGCTCCTATGCTAAGTTCAATTTACAATTCTAGTTTTCCAGGTAATTTTTCATCATACTCCTCTCTTTTAACATTACTGATGCTTGGGTTGGATGTGTGGCACGGTGGTTAAGGGTGCTGGACTCCCACATGACCAACCACAGTTTGAAGCCCAGACCTGGTGGCTTGCTTTCTAACTTTCTGTCTCTATTGTGCTTTCTCATTCTGTCCCTCTCTTGCCAAATTAAAATTTAAAAATAAAGTAAAATAAAATAAAATAATTCTTTTTTTTTAAAAAAAAAAACCATTATTGATGGTGATGAGAAATCTAATGCCAGTGTAGCACTTTGTTCCCCTCACTGGTAATTCTTTTAACCTTTCTCTCCATACATTTATAGAATTTATTTTTCTTTTCCATGATGTTCTAAAGTTTTGCTAGGATATATTTAAGTGTAAGTCTTCCTTTTTACTCTGTGATAGCCACACTTTGTGTACTTTTTTTAAATAAAAGAACTATTTATTTACTTATTTATTTTATTATTTTAAACAATAAGAAAGAGACAGAGAGAAAGGGAAAGTTAAAAAGAAAGCCACCAGTCTGGGATTCAAACCATGGTCGACCATGTGGGAGTCCAGTACCTTAATCACCACATCACCTCCTGGCTCCTTTGTGTACTGTTTTAATCTAAAGATGCTATGTCCTTCAGTTGTGAGAAAATATGTTCTATAACTTATTTGATAAACCTCTTTTTTTTCTTTTTCTAAACCAAATATTATTTGCTTGTTTTATCTCCAAGACTGATTTTCTATGTAGCATTTTCTTTTATTATATTTTTGACTCAATTTTTTCCTATGGCCTGATTTTCTTACTTTTGTTTTTCAGATCATCTCCTAATCTTTAAAAACATTTTAGCAACAATATTTTAGTCTTTAAGAGCTCTTACTGATTGTTAAATGTTCCTTGTTGAATCCTTCAGAATACATTTGTTTTTTAGAATTAAAATAGTTTATTTTTGTTGTTGTTGCTATAGGGTATGTGTGCTTGTGAGAGAGAGAGAGAGAGGAAAGGGAAAGTGAGAAGTCAGCCCTAGGGGTACGGCCATGGCACAATCCCTTCTTGTCCAGTTTCCTCAGTGTTTGGAGCACGCATACACATGAGTCCAGCGTGAGTTTCAAGCCACCAGTTCCAGGAATCAGACCCAGGCAATTGGCCATGTAGGATCCAGTGCCTTAACCTCCATTGCCACTTGCTGGCCCTAATTAGATATTTTGATTATTTTCTTTTATTTTTGGAATTTCTGTTTCTTTTTGTGTAGGATTTTTAATGTTTATTGTTTATATTGCTTACTTTATCCCTCTTGCTGTCCCTTCATATTGTAAGAGTGAAGGTCTATGCGACTACAGGTATTTGCTGTGTTATTTTTTAAGTAGGTCTGTTTTTCAATAGGTGGCCTCTAAAATGTGACTTAATCGAGGACATTGAGATAGAAAGATTATACTGCATTGTGAGGTAGATTCAACCTCATCATATGGGTTATTAAAATTGAAGTAATGTTCCTTGCAGGCTTCAGAGGGAGATATGGCTGTGAAAGAAAGATAAATGAGATGAGACATTGTTGCCTTTGAAGGTGGAAGGACAGGCCATGAGCCAGGGAATGTGGGCAGCCTCCAGCAGCTAGAAAAGGCAAGAAAACAGACTCAGCCCTGGAACCTTTGAGAAGGATGTGGTCCTGCCAACGCCTTGATTTTTAACCCAAATGAGACCTGAGTTGAATGATTTCTAATCCACACAACTGTAAAATAAAGTTTGTACTGTTCTTAAATCACTATTTTCGTGATCATTTGTTAAAGAAGTAGGAGAAAATAAATACAGAGTGAAAATATGTTAATTTTCCAGTCTTTTATTTTTATTTAATTTTTTTAAGAGGCATGTGCGCTGGCCAGAGAGACAGAGAGAGAGAAAGATAGAGAGTCAGAAAGTGAGAAATCACCCCCTCACCCCCCAATCCCCAGGAGGAATGGCCATGCCACAATCCCTTCTCCTCCATTCTCCTCTCAGAATTTTGGGCACACATGTGCCTGGCATGAATTTGAAGCCTCCAGGTCCAGGATTCAAACCCTGGTTGACCATGTGGGAGTTCAGCGACATAAGCTTTACGTCATTTGCTGGTCCCTGAAGTCTTTTATTTAGAGTATGTAGTTTTGATGTTGCTTTTCAACCTCCTCATTCTTGATGCCCCCGATTCCCATCCCCTAATGTCAGATTAAACGATTATTCATTACAATTTTTATTAGTCTTCTCATAGATTTTATATTTTATTTTATTTTCTATTTCACTTCTCTTTAATAATCATCCCCTTTTATCTTTTCATTCTTTTGTCAGTGGTGATTTTGGTGAGACAGAGTGAGCAGGTATGGTCTGATATCTGGAATTAGAAGCATTATTTGCAGACATTTAAAGTCTCAAATGGACACTTTCTCGTATGTGAGAGGCAATCCACAGGCAAAACCAAATCCAAACAAAACAACAAGCAGGGGACCTGAGAACAGATTTGATTTCATGCCCCTAGGAAAAATCACAGCCCTGGGAAGGAGGCTTTCTGACTTCATAGA